GCGGCTGTGCGCGCTGCTGGCGCTGGCCGCGGGCGCGCTGGGCTGCGCGGTGTTTGCCTACGGCCTGTGCGCGCGCTGGCGGCTCGCGGCCCGCGTGCTCTCGCTGCACCCGGCGCCCCGCATCCTGGGCAGCAACGGCAGCGGCCCCGCCGCCGCGCCGCGCCTCTTCTGGGGCTCCTACCGACCGCAGGTCTACTTCGGCATGAAGACCCGCAGCCCTCGCTCGCCGGTCGCAGGTGATGGCAGCGTCGTTCCGGGGGCGGCCCCCTGCCCGTAGCCGGCCCCGCGCCCTGGGGCGGAAGCGTCGCCCGGCAGGCAGCGGGCCGAGGGGGGAGGGCTGGGGGGCCAAGCGCCCGTGGACGCCTTCCTGGGCCGCCCGGCCCGGCCCGGCACAGGGGAGCGGGGCCACCGCGAGCCCCTTCCCCACTTGCGGAAGGGAGCAGAGCCGAGCCCGCGTGGCACGCGGCCCTGGGCGGCGGCGTCAGTCCAGGCTCAGATCTCCGCGCGGGCCGCCCTGGGCAGAGGGAGCCTCTCCTCCGCAAGCGCCAAGCGGCATCCGGCGGCACCGGAGGGAGTGGAGGCAGCACCCGCGGACAGACGGCGCTGGCTCTCCCGCGCCCCCCGCCCCCCGGAGATGCGGTCCCGAGCCACGACTGCCGCAGCTTCCCCCTGGCTCTCAGCTGCTGCCTGGCTACCGGCTCCCGCTGCGGGGGAGCCGCCAGCCGCCTGCCCAGAGCTGCTGTCCCTTTGCAGGCCTGATGTGGATGCCCCAGCTGGAGGGGGACGTCCAGCTGCGCCACTCCTGCGAGCAAAGCGACAGGCTTCCCCGGTACGGATGGCTGCTCCACGACGGCATCCATTTCGGCGTGCAAGAGATCCGTGACCGAGGCTTCAGCCTGCAGACGGAGTTTGTGAAGCGCCCTGGAGGGCAGCACGGAGGAGACTGGAGCTGGAGGGTCACCGCTCTGCCCGAGGTGACTGGCGAGGGAAAGGCTCTTGCCTCGTGTTTGCAGAGGGAGGTCCGGGTGCCACGGCTTTTGCTCTGTTTCGTCAGAGGTTGGCGTCTTCTAATCCCGCTTTTTCTGCTTTCCTGCTTCCGAGCTAGAGGTGGGGCAGGCTTCCCATCCTGGCTGCTTGCTTAGGTGAGGCAGCTGCAAGATGGCCATTCATTTTGTGGTCCCAGGGCCTGCCTGTTAGTTACCTGGCATGGGGAGGGTGTCAACACATCCTAGAGGCTAAGGGTCACCAGTGTGTCCCCAGTTCCAAATTGTCACAACTCAGTAAGATGCGTGGAGCATTGCCCTATAGTTGGGACACCCAAGCCCCTGCACGTTTTTTTATCTGCCTCTTTGTTTCTGGCCTTTGGACTGGGAGACACGTGGGGTGAGAGAGAAGGCCTGCCTCGTCTGCCTTGTGAGACAAACACTCGTTTTCTCTTTTCTGACCCCAGAGGACTGGGGGCCCACCCCCCCTCATCTCCCTGCTCTTCTACGTGGCCACTGACGGGCAAGGCACTCTGCAGCCCCAGGTGGTGGAGCAGACCCGGATGGTGTCTCTGACTGGCACAACGGAGGAGCTGGGGCACTTCACCATCACCTTCCAGCAGCCCACCACAGAGACCGGCACAACTCCCCTCTATGCCAGGTACTCCTCAGCAGAAGCGCCCCCTTTTCCAGCCCCGCAAGTGCACAGAGACACAAGTGCATTGATGATCTCTCTGTCTCTCTCTCCCCCCCCCCCCAGTTACAATTACCTGCAGGCGAAGGCTGAGGGGTTGCACCACCTGAGCAATGTAGTGAAAGGCAGCCTGACTCCCCGCTTTTCCTACGCTCCACCAGGGTCCTCCAAGCGCCGCTACTTTGGCGTGGACACCTACAGAGGCCAACCCGGGGAGGGTGAGCTGCGCAGCCAGCTCCTGGTCCACCAGGTGACTGTGGCGTTGCCCTGCCGCATGGAGGTGGTCTTCGAGTCAGGCAGCGTGGCCGAGCGCCCTGGGCGGCTGGCGGGAGAGGCCCTGACGCGAGAGCTGGGCAGGCACATGGCTGCCTTCGAACGGCGGTTTGAGGAGACCTTTGGCCTCGCTGGCAAGGGCTACTCTCCGCAGGAGCAGCACTTTGCCCGGGCTGCGCTCAGCAACATGCTGGGCGGGATGGGCTATTTCTACGGGCACTCGCTGGTGCAGTCTCCATACGCGGAGCTGCCCCAGGCCTACCCCGAGGGCCCGCTCTTCACAACAGTGCCCTCCCGCTCTTTCTTTCCCCGCGGGTTCCTGTGGGACGAAGGCTTTCACCAGCTGCTGCTGAGTCGCTGGGACCCAGCCCTCAGTCGGGAGGTGTTGGCCCACTGGCTCGACCTCATGAATGCGGAGGGATGGATCCCGAGGGAGCAGATCCTGGGCGAGGAGGCCCGCACCAAGGTCCCAGCCGAGTTCCTGGTGCAGCACAGCAGTGCGGGCAACCCGCCAACCCTCTTCCTGGCCCTACGGCAGCTGTTGGCGCAGGGCAACCTGGAGGCGAGCTACCTGCGGCGCCTCTACCCGCGCCTGCAGAGCTGGTACGACTGGTACAACCAAACGCAGGCGGGGCCGCTGCCCCACACCTTCCGCTGGCGTGGCCGGGACCAGGACACCCAGATGTTCCTCAACCCGAAGACCCTGACGTCCGGGCTGGACGACTACCCCCGGGCCTCCCACCCTTCCCCGGACGAGCGCCACCTGGACTTGCGCTGCTGGATGGCCGAGGCCTCAGCTGCCATGGCGGAGATCGCCGCGCGCGTGGGGGAGCCAGCGGGGGAGTACCAGCGAGCCGCCGACGTGCTGGCGGACAACCAGCTGCTGGACCAGCACCACTGGGCTGCGGAGCTGGGCACCTTCGCCGACTACGGGAACCACACCCTGGCGGTGGCCCTGGAGCGCGAGAGGCCACCCCCGCCCCCGCCCGGCCAGCCCCCGCCCGCCCCCCGCCTCCTGCGGGTGGTGCGCAAGCCCCCCAAGCCCCAGTTTGTGGGGGGGGCCTTCGGCTACGTCAGCCTCTTCCCGCTGCTGCTGCAGCTCCTGCGCCCGGACTCGCCACGCCTGGGCAGGCTGCTGGACGACCTGCGCAGCGAGGCGAAGCTGTGGACGCCCTTCGGCCTGCGCTCGCTCTCCCGCTCCAGCCCCTTCTACCTCAAGCGCAACACCGCGCACGACCCGCCCTACTGGCGGGGCCCCGTCTGGATCAACATCAACTACCTGGCTGTGCGGGCACTGCACCACTACGGCCGGGCCGAGGGCCCCTTCCGCCGGCAGGCAGCCGCCCTGTACCAGGAGCTGCGGGCAAACGTGGTGGCCAACGTCTTTCGGCAGTACGTGGAGAGCGGATACATCTGGGAGCAGTACAATGACGAGACGGGCAGGGGCCAGGGCTGCTACCCTTTCACAGGCTGGTCAGCCCTGGTGGTGCTCATGATGGCCGAGGAGTATTAGGCGGGGCGGTGGGCACCCCCGGGCCCTCTGTGTTCGTGTTCGAGGCGTGCCAGGAGTGCGCGTGAACGGCAGGCTGCCCGGGCTCCTCTTGGCGGGCGGCCGGCAGTGCTCCCCCGCTCTGGAAGGCAGGCTGGAGCAACCTGGATGCTGCCTCATCCCACGTGGACCTTCCGTGGCTCTGCCCCCTCCAAATCACTCTGGGATTTGCCTTTCTGGCTTTTTTAATGAAATAAAGCTGTGGAGCTGGAACGTGGGCTTACTTTCTTCCCGGTGGAAGCTCGGCCGTGGCAAAGAACCCCCGTCTCCCGCTGAGCTGTGGATGTACAGGGATGCCTGTGGACTGGCTAATTGACCGGCATGCGAGATGGGCAGGTGGCTGCATATTTGGGTTTTAAGCAACGCAGGGAAAGGAAAAGGCAATTTGCTTCTGCCACTCATATCATGTTAACAATTTCCAGAACAGAAAAGAAGTTATCTTCGGGAGCACCTTTAAATTTATGTAGCATCAGTGAGCGTGAAATAGTTGACTTCTCCAGATGCACGCAAGCATCCCCAGCTGGCTTGCCTGTGTGCGCGCAGGGAGGGGACAGGCTTAGGCAAACCTCAAAGTTTGCCGAAGTTCAGAAATGCATAGAAGCAGCGCCCTTCATAGAAAACAGAGTCTGATCAAGGTTGAATGTGCTCAGTGGCCAGGAATGCTGGCCAAGCTGCAGCTGGGAGAAAGGGAGCGGCAGGCTGGCAGGAGCGCCCTAAGGCCAGCTCCGTGGGGGCAGCGCGCAGTGTGGCTGGCAAAGCGTGTGGGGCAGCTGCCCTGCCCTGCCGCAGCCTGGTTCTGTCACAAGGCCCGCTCACGTGCTTATCCGTCCTTTTGCGGGTGTTCGCACAAGCACTTACATTCCTCCACAGGCAAAGAGCACTCCATTCACCCCCTGAAGCAGACGCCAGTCTAGGGAAGCCCACGCGATCAACTGGCCAGCTCTAGGCTGCCCAGGCCAGGTCATTTCGAGGAGGAATGGCTGCTTGGGGGGCAGTGCCCGAGGTCTGCAGGCAGGGGGTCCCAGCTCCAAATCGGGGCAGTTCAAGGCCAGAGATGGGAAAGGCCCCCTTCTGAATGCCCGGGACCCCAGTTCTGCCTTTACAGAGCAGTCAGGGGAGAGACGCGGGAATTAGAAAAGGGTTGGCCATCCTGCCCCTCTGTCCAGCACCCCCAATAGGCCTTTTGGGGCAGGGGGGCTCCAGCCCCCGGAATGGATATTCCGCCTTCCAAATGCGACCTGCAGCGCTCCCACGTGGATCGGCCACGCTGCACCTTGTATGGCTGAAGCGGCGACCACGCCAGCAACATCCATCTCCCCCGTGCAGCTGAAGCCCCCTTCGGCCATTTCGTGGCAGGCCACCTTTGCTTCTCTGAATGGCTCCAGGAGCCTCTTGCCTCACACGCACCACTGCGAATGCTCCTTCCTAGAACTCGCTCGGCTCGGCCGCTCGTGTGTGGCACAGGTCTGTTCCAGCTGCCTAAAAGATGCAGCACTCTCCCCACGGCCCGCTCCTCCTCCGAGGCGGAACTGTGGCCTGGAGAAGTTTCCTGCAAGAGCAAGCAAAAGGCTGCCTGGCCCCTGCCACCGCTTCCGTACTTGGAAGAGCAAGGAGCACACCCCGCAGAGGCCACGCGGGAGGCAAGGGGGCTCTTCATTAACGCCCCGGAAGGGAAGCTACACGTGGGCAGAGGATTGAAGGGCAGCAGCCGCGCCGCAGGCAAGGGCGCCATTCAAGGAACTGGCCTCGCCGAGCGGCTGAAGGCCAAGCCGCTGAGCGGGAAGTCCCCACGTTACGCCCCACCGGCACCCCTCACACTCCCGCCAGTCTCCAGCCATCCTGCATCTGCCACGGTAATGCCATGCCGACTGCTTCCCTGGCAAAGCGTCCCCGGGAACACGGTCCAAACTTGTATCAAAGCAGCCACCACAGACGCGCGAGCAGGCGTCCAGCGCTGGAAGGGCCAGCAGCACAGCCGAACAGCTCAGAGAGGGAAGGCCGCAGCCAGGCGGGCCCTGTGCACCGCAGACTCAGGGACAGCTCGGAGTGCAGAGAGCGCCACTGTAACACGAATGGTCTGAACAGGAAGCCTTCGTGTTTGGCCTCGGCTCCCACACACTCAAATGCGGGCACGCTGGGGATTTCGCAGACCGCTTCTGCCCGAGGAGGAGCAGAAATACGTGAAGCAGAGCAGGGAAAACACAATACAGACCGACCAGGGGTATCAACTGAGGAAAGACGCCTCCAAGTGCAGGATGCATGCAGAACTACCTTTCTGGGGAGAAGGGGAGGCTTTTGGACTGCGATTGCTTTGCTCACGGTCAGATGTGTTCATGTTTCCTGTGCGGCAAAGTCCCCATTGCTGGATCCTGCTTCCCACCCCACACTTTCCACTCACCCCCAAAAAGAAAATAGAATTAGAGCACTGCACACATTCTGCTCATCATCCACCCACCAAAACTCCACCACACCCCCTTTCACTGGAGTGCAATTCAGAGGCACCTGAGCCAAGAATTTCCACATCTTTTTAATAAGCCAGCACTGCTGCCCCCAACTGCACATGTGGAGAGTACCTCTGCTCCACAGGCTATCAGGCACTGGGACAGACCAGGCAAGCTGCTTCGAGCAGCCTGGAGGAGGAGGGCTGCTCCCTGCTCCCCGAGTCTGGCTGGACCTGGGAGCAGGCATAAGCGAGAACCGCCTCACTCAGGCAGCTAGCAAACCCCGAGCCCAGTGCAAATGCTATGGGGAAAGGGCACAGGGAGTCTGCGTGCCACCTGCCCCCAGCCAGGGAAGAGCCACACCTTGTTCCGAAGGTTTTGGAGTGCAGCAGGACACACGGACACAGAGCAGTGGCAGTGGTTACGGTCCAGCAGGCGGTCCTCCCTTCCCAGGCATCTGATGCCTCGGGATCGCAAGTCCACAGCAAGATCCCCGGGGGGGAGCAGAGCTTTGGTCACAAAGCCGGGGGGGCGAGGAGAGCTGGGGCGCAGCACGACACGCTGTCTAGGCAAGGGGGGCGGAGCACGTGGTCTGGCGGAGGGCAGTGTTGGTGCTAAGGCGGCGATTCTCCGCAGTGAACCGCACGGGTGGCGTCCCTTGCCAGAGCCCGCTGCCTGGCACGAGGGAGACGGCGACCAAGTCTTGGAAGTGGTGTGACAGCAGACCCCGTAAAGCGGGGGGGCAGCCGCACGCGCCGGCTCCCCTTCAGACAGGCAACGTAGGTGAGGTGGTGGCCAATTCGTCGGGGTCCCCTTCAGCCTGCCCCGCACGCAGGTTCGGGGGCTCGGCGCTGGGGCACGCGCAGGGAAGGCCTTTGCCGAGCAAGTGGACGGCCTCTCCCTCGCTGTCGTCATCTCCGGCAGCCGCCGCCTCCTCTTCCTCCTGGCCGTGCCCCACCTCAATGCCGGAGTCCCCCGTGAGGCGGCGATGCCGGAAGTGCTCGCCCTCATCCCCAGCATCAGGCCCTTCATCGCTGTCGGAGAGCCGCCGCGGATCCCCATCGAAGAGTTCCACGTTGGAGGAGAAGAGAGCGTGCTTGGGGGCCGGGATGGAGCAGGGCTCCCAGCTGCCCCCTGTGCTGCTGCTGCAGCTCCTGGGCCCCCCCTCGGCCTCCATCTCCCCCTCGCTGGGAGTACTGGCCTCGGTGGCGGAGAGCGAGGTGCTGCTGGGCGACGTCAGGCAGCTGGACTCGCACGAGCAGCTGGTATAGTTCTCAGAGCTGCCGGTCAGCGTCAGGGTGCTGGAGCCCAGGCGGCTGGCGGAGCCGCCCAAGACGGCACTGTAGGGGGGCGGTGGGGTGGTCGGGCGGTGGGCCACCTCCTCATAGGCAGGCAGCTTGAAGGAAGCCAGCATCCCTGCAGGAGGAGGAGGAGTGATCCATCAGCGTGGCAGGAGGCCCGGGCCCTGACTGCAGGGGGCCTGGCGGGGCAAGGGGGCGCCACCTGCAGTCCCTCGCACAGGGCCTTCCCCACACCGCCCTGAGGTGCCACTTCCTCCCCCAGAGGCCCACGGCCAGGAGGCGCCGCCATACGGGGCTTCGCACCCGCCAGGCTCTGCCCGGGGGCGCTGCAGCCCCCGGGCTCCGTGGCCTTTGGCATTCGCGGGGGGCCTCGTGGAGGGCCGGCGGGCTCCCCGGAGAGGGCCCGTCCCGTGCTCGAGACCCAGCTGGGCCTGGCGGGGGCTCCCCGGCCCACCTGCCCCCCACACCGGGTCGCCGGCGCCCAGTTCACTCACTGAGGTCCATCATGGACGGGGGGTAGTTGCAGGCACCGTGGTAGGCAATGAGGTTGATCTCGCGCTGCCGCTGCTGCTGCTGCAGGCGCAGCTTGGCGCGGCGGTGCCTGTAGGCGCAGCAGCAGCTGAACAGGATCAGGACCGTCCAGAGCAGCCAGAACCCTGCAGGGCGAGAAGGGCGAGGGCCTGAGAGGGGCGCCCGCCCGCTGGGGCGCCGCGGGCGGCGGGCGGGCGGCGGGCGGGGCGGCCGACGGCGGCGCCGCGCGGCTACTCACACCAG